GATAACTTTATCGCCACCCAGTATATACTATTTTTGTAATAAAATCTGCAGCCAGGGTTGGCCGCAGATTTTATTATTATATACAGCGTTAATATTATCCATCACCGTTTAGTTTAATAGTGGTAAATTATGGTCAATTTTTATTGTATAAAAATATTTAAGTATTTAAGTAAACAACACTTTATTGTCCTACCTGGTTACAAATCAAACGAACATCGATTATGGTCTCAACCGACTACAAAGACCCAAACTATAAACGTGCTACGAAGGTACAGTCATTATGCGTTCAGCTGACGTTCAGGATATAACGTCACCCGTAGGTATGATAGGGTATCATCCCTACGGGTGACTTTATATCCTCGAAACACTTCAACGCTGCATTGGAAAACGTTTTCAAGCTACTGGACTGGAAAGGATACGGTGTTAACATCAATGGTGAGTTTAAAGACATAGAGTCCTTATGGCAGAATCGCTGGAGGATCTAAGAACTATGCTCAATGAACTATGGATCTGAGACGTGGTCTTTCACTACTGGCCGTATGACGAAGCTCAAAAGTTCGCTCAGCGAGCTATGGAAAGGGCTATGCTTAAGGTTTCTCTGCATGATAAACTTATAAATGAGAATATCCACAGTAGAAACAGTAAAAGACAACGGATTAGTAAGCTGAAGTGATAACTCGAAGAATCGACAACCGATGAGGAAAAAAGGTTCTAGAGTGGCAGACCCGTACCGGTAGGCGAAGTGTATGGCGACTCCCTACTAGATGGAGTGACTACCTGGTAAGACTTGCAGGAAGTCGATGAATACAGGTGGCTCGGGACCGTGCTTTCTGGCATTCCTCGGGAGATACCTATGTGCAGCAGTGGAGTAGTGAGGGGCTGTCATGATGAATGATGAATGATAATGATACTAGAGATTTCAGTATATTAGGTGTTAATTAGTGAACCTAGTTTTGAAAGGATAGTAGATTAAAAACATTTGGCAACACAAACCAAAATAACAAAATTTCTTACGTCAAAAAGTCGCGGGTACAAAAGTTATATATCTTTCAAAGTATCTCATAATATTTTGCCTTAAATGCTTAAAGTTTTCTTTAGATATCCGGTTAGCTCATCTTTATGGATGTGAAGATAAGGACATGTACGGCAAAACCACTTAGATCATGCTCTGAAATTCTTTCTGAATATCTCTGTAGTCACGTTTTACTAGCGAAGGATTCAGATAACACATTCGACTAACTTTGCAGCGCAAATCGTAAACGTGGTCTACGATTTAACGGATATAGTTTGCCTTTTGATGTAATATAGTAGGGATATTTTTAACAAAACAGGTATTAAAATTATGAATGATTTTTAAATATAAGTGTAAGACTTCTGCTAAAGTTATTATAACTGCTATTTAAGTATTGATTTACCACGTGTATGATGGTGATCACATTGTGAGAAGGATGCATGTGTGAGAAACTTTAAATTCGGGACGTCCCAAGTCGGCCAACTAGCATTATAGCAACTCTACGGCCTTACACTTGCCTCATAATAACACAACTTTTTATTAACATATTTATATTAAAAATAAATAATAATTAAAAATGCTTTGTCTAGTTTACTTAGTGACATTGAGTTGTTGTAATTTGGTCAACAATTATATAAGAGGAATAGATGTATATGGGCCATACATCCTCTTACAATTAGATGGACTTTGTGCTCGTTTGTCACCCTTATTCTATAAAAAATTTTAGTCAAATTATCTCCTAAAGTGACTTATAATATTTTACAAATAAAAGATAAAAAGAAAAAGGTTATTGCTGTATTTATATGTTTGACGACGGCATTTGACACGGTTTCTATTCCACTTTTAATAAATAAACTACATAAGCTTGGCATATTGGGCAAACAAGTAATTTTTTTTCGTAAGTTACCATACAGAATGACATATGGTATGTATGATATAGTAAATAAGGTAAGGTAAATACTTCCGTTTCTTACAACGTGTCACGAGACAGTATTTTAGATTTAAAGTTGTTTCTAACATAAATAACTAAAACTATAAAATGAGTACCGTCGTTGCAGCAACGCAGCACAAACGGGAAGATTCAAATCTATCAAATGGGGAGGATACTATATAATATGCCCAACAAGGTTTTGATTGAACTGGAAAATGGCTGAGAACAAAAGATTTAGCTCTGAATGTTGAAAAACTATACCCGAACGAAACAGTGAATCTATAACTCGTACTTCGTCCGTTAGTAGGTATTATTGGGTCCATTTAGTCCAAAAATTATAATTCATTGTTCAGATATTGCAAAAAAAAAACAATCCCGAAAAAACTAATGAATAGCTAATTTCGAAAAAAAAGTAACATGCATTTTTTATTCTAAAATTTATTTGAATTTAGAGTTTCAAGACAAACCATTGCCATTACAGTTCAAAGGGGCCAGTTCAACAAATCGGCATTTCGTAGGTATAGACCTAATATTTTCTCGTATGAAATATATAAAAATTAATGTTTGTTTGTTCGTATTTTAAGCGCAGCCATACCACTCATCAGATTGCGGTAAAACTTTGTCAACTTATTGCTTGCACCTGTGCGAAGGTTATATGCATCGTAGAATTACCTTACAGTAGGTGGCGCGCGTCTTTCAACAAATTTATTTGAAATTTATAATATATCATTCAATTTCAATGAATTTATTATCATTCCTATTTAATAAATACAACTGTTCCAAATTTAAAACGATATTTCCACAATTATTTCTTCTGGCGGCAGCAACGCGCCGGGTACCAGTTATATATTTTTTTTAATTTTCAATTTTTGTCTACAATTTTATTGTTTACATAACATTAAAAAATATACAATATTAAAATACTATAATAAAGAAATAAAACTAATAACTTAAATTATCATACAGTTCTACTCCCCGTGGTATCGTGCCAAGAACGCTGGCTGCGTTTCCTCGCTGAATATGTTATACTTAGCCTTTGAGCAAGAAAAGAACTAGCCCTCGTATCACCAGCAGTGTAGACCAGTCGCGGATACAGTTCATTTAGAAATAATAAAATTATATAAATTATATTGATTTGAAATTATATTCCATAGATACGACCATAATCATGTTAATAGTGTGAATAATAAAATTAAAATAAATATTCGAAAAATATATGTAATTTTGAAATCTCACTAAACTGTATATTATTTCATGAGCAGCATCTTGAATTTTAATATAGAGCAGCCCATCTCATCAGTAATTCTCCTCAGAATTTAAAACTACTCATATAAATAATGATTTCTTATATTTACGCGAACACTACACCTTGAATAAAACCACTTTTACGGATTCTAACGCGTATGATTAACTTATTTTTATTAATTCCCGACGTTTCAGGTGCTTTAGAGTACCCCGTGACCATGGGTGCTGTGAAGCACCTGAAACATCGGGGATTAATAAAAGTAAGTTAATTAAACGCGATAGAATCCCTAAAAGTAGTTTTCTTCAATAGTCATATAAAATACATTACGAATAAGTTATGTACTCTTAATGAATTTATAATGTTAAAAGAATTCCAATTTTTCGCGACTCGAATTAAAATTATGTAAATTTCAATAAGATAAGCGAACCAAAAAGAGAGTTGTTAATATATATTCCTTGAAGTTGAAAATAAAATTCTTCGAGGCGTAAAGTAAATAACAAAATGTAATTATAATCAAAGAGCTGGCGACGAAATTTGGGAAGGTATTTTTGGCAAGTTGAAATTGTGAAAAAATAATTTCCTCATTTGGCAAACTCAGTGGAAGCCTGCGAGCCTGGAAAAGCATTTGCGGTTACTGCGCAGCATATAATATTTGCAAGAAAAATTTGCAAATTGATTTCTTTATATCTTTTAATTTAGTTTTTACATAATTTAAAAAAAAAACTCGCGGTTTCTCAATAACCAATCACAGCGCGAGGAGCTTGGGCCCCCATCAGCTAAATCAAGTTGCGAAAAAACATTTTTTTGGATTTTTTTGCAAATGTTATATTCTGTGCAGTAACGAAGTAACCGCAAACGCTCTGCCAGATTCGCGGGACTGGATTTGCCTGCTCTACTTTTCAAAAGGACCTTCCCAAAATTCGTCACCAGCTCTCCGACTATAAATTCTGCGAAATGAGATCCATTCGCGTATGCGCTTGACTGGCCTGTTGGTCTAGTGGTTAGTGACCCTGACTGCTACGCCGGAGGTCGTGGGTTCGATTCCCACCCAGGACAAATGTTTGTGTGATGAGCACGATCATTTGTTCTGTGTCTGGGTGTAATTTATCTATAATATTTATGTATTTAGAAATATATAAGTATGTTTATCAGTTGTCTAGTACCCATAACACAAGCTCTGCTTAGCTTGGGACTAGATGGCGTTGTTTGATAGTTGTGGAAATATTATTATTATTATTATTATTATTATATCTTATTTGCGAGAATAGCTCTAGAATTAAAACGCTATTAAAATCTGTCTGATATAAAATATATGCATGAATTTGATTCTTCTTCAATCTTTCTTCATAAAATAATATTTTTTGTTTATTCATTCATTACAGCCTATTAAGAGACCACTGCTTTATATATGCCTACCCAGAGATTGTCTCGTAGAGGAGATATTAACTAACCGATGAGTTTTTATTTGCCATTAGATTATTTCGATTTATTTGAGAGCATATGGAACGTATAAATGCAATGGTTAGTGTTAGAATTACTTTTCTGTCTAGGAGTTAGTCTGGACACCCTCGTACCTATTTCCGCTGCCAAATATCAGCGCTTGCACCGCTGTTTTTCGGTCTAAAGGCCCCAGGGTGCATGTTTAATCACAGGGTGTGAATCATGTCACCTTAGTACTCTAGGACAACAACGCATCTGTCCAAAGTTGGATGAGGGTGTCCATGGACTGCAGTAGCTAATTAATAATCGGTGAACCATTATATTTCTATATATAATAATAATAATAATAATAACTGGACTCAAACCAGGTGATGTCGCGCGCTCAAAATGGATGTCAGGGCGGTGGTCGTGGAACCAAGGAACCACTCCTCATTGACGCGGTCATTGGCAAGGTGGTTAAACGCAACCGTCGGAACCTCTCCGCCGCCTGGATAGACTACAAAAAGGCATTCGACTCAGTGCCTCATACATGGCTTAAGAGGGTCCTCGAGCTGTACAAGGTTGACTGTACAGTTCGAGACTTCCTCGGGCAGTGTATGGGGCAATGGAGTACGATCCTTTGTCATCTAGGTGAGCGGATGACGGCTGCGGAGAACCACATAAGGATAAGAAGGGGTATCTTCCAGTTTCCAGATTGTTTGAGTCCAACCTGGTTCTGCCTCTCTCTGAACCCTCTCAGTACCTTACTGGAGGGCTCCGGGAGGGGATTTCAGCTTCGGAGAGGAGGTACAAAAGTGACCCACCTTTTCTATGTGGATGATCTCAAATTATTCGCCTCCAGTCGCTCTCATCTTATGGAATTGCTAAACATCACTTGTGATTTTAGCAATTCTATTAGAATGGAGCTGGGGACGGATAAGTGTGCGATCCTCCATGTCGAAAGGGGAAGGGTTGCTAACTCTGCGGGCATAGACTTATCTATGCCCATCAGCATAAGGACCCTTTCCGAGGCTGAAACATACCGATACCTGGGTATGTCACAGAACATCGGTGTAGATGAGTCGGGTATGAAACGGTCAGTTTGCGATGTGTTTTATGCACGCTTGACCAAAGTGCTTAATAGCCTTTTGTCCGGTGTGAATAAGACGCACGCATATAACGGTTGGATCATGCCTGTTCTCATGTATACCTTTGGCATACTCAGGTGGACTCAGACCGAACTGAACGCTCTGGACAGAAAAGTCCGCACTATATATAATGACGTCCCACAGGATGCATCATCCGAGATCGTCAGTAATGAGGCTGTACTTGCCGCGAAAGCATGGTGGGCGCGGCTTTTTAAGCGCGCTTATCATGCATAATCGCGAAGTGTGCAGCCTCCGTAATTACTTTTTGACGAGAGCGGATGATCCATACTATAGGGACGTTATTTCTTGTGATAAAGGGCTAACCCCTCTATCCTTAGCCAACGAGCAATGGCAAGACCCGGCAGTACAGAGCATTTCCGACCGGGAGACCGTATGGAAGGAGAAGGAGCTCCACGGGAGGTTCTACAAGGCCCTTCATGAGCCTTACGTAGACACAGTCGCCTCCCTCCACTGGCTACGTTTCAGTGACCTCTTTGGGGAAGCTGAGGGTTTTGTCTGTGCAATACAGGATCAGGTTATTAAGACCAACAATTATCGGAGATACATCCTAAAGGATGGCACCGTCGACATCTGTCGAGCTTGTCGCCATCCCGGTGAGTCACTTAGGCATGTCATCTCTGGTTGTTCGGCGCTTTCTAACTCTGAGTATTTGCACAGACACAACCTAGTAGCCAGGATTCTACACCAGGAGCTCGCTCTGAAATACGGTCTCGTGGATCGGAAACTGCCATATTATAAGTACTTGCCGGAAGCCGTGCTCGAAAATGACCGCGCCAGGCTCTACTGGAACCGGGCCATCATCACAGACAGGACTATTCTTGCGAATAAGCCTGATATTGTGCTGATGGACCGGGCACAGTCAAGGATATTTTTGGTCGACATTACCATTCCCTATGACGAGAACCTCGTGAAAGCCGAAACAGATAAGCTGACAAAATATCTGGACCTGGCTCACGAGGTGACCGACATGTGGGGTAGTCTGCCGGCCGAAATTATTCCTGTGGTCGTTTCTGCGAACGGGTTAATCCCAGTTAGCCTCTCGGGTCATCTGAGGCGACTGGGACTCCGTGACGGACCGCTCCAAGCTCAAATGCAGAAGGCGGTGCTCCTCGATACCGCCCGCATCGTCCGCCGGTTTCTTTCCCTTTCCCCCTAACCCTCGGCCGTCTGGTCTCCCCTGCCGAGGGCTTCCATCTGGTTGGGTTTTTATATATTTATGTATTTTTTATGTATTTATTTTATTTTATTCATATTTATGTATGTTTACCATTTTCATTTACAATTATATATTTATACTGCCCAACCAGATGAGAAAACTTTATAGATACCCCAAAATAATAATAATAATAATATTCCACAACTATCACACAATATATAGTGTAATGTTCAATAAAGATTAATTAAAATAACTTCGTTTGTTACTTCAGTTTCATGAAAAAAAAAACCAGAGACTTAATGATACAAGTAATTAAATTCGGTTTTAGATAATCGTTTTATCGCATTTAATTTCACTTATTTAAAATTCATCACCAAGCGAGTGTTTTTAGTATCCATGATCACGGGGGGATTCAAAAGTTAGAAGTCCTGATGTCGTAGCTGGCTCGGGGTACTTTAAACCGTACGACGATCTGGCAAGAGATGCAGGAAGTCAATGGATTCAGGTTACTCAGGACTATTTTGTTTTCTGACGTTCCTTGAACCTTTCCATGCCTTCAGCAGTGAACTTGTGATGGGCTGTAATGATGATGATGATGAATATAGTCTTGTTAGAGCCGTGGACTTATGCTACGCATCGTAAGTAAAATTTGATGAGCTAAAGGCTGTTTCGGCCACTAACGCCATCTACGAAGGCGAGTGCCCTCTGCAGTATGAAGTGCGGTAACAAGAAAGAAACCCGTGAATGAATAAAGTGAAGCGCACATTCAATCTCTAATTGTCTTATAAGCAACATGTATAATTTTTTCAGACCAATTTTATTTTACCAATTACATAAGAAAGTAAATGAAAATAGTAATTGAATTGAAAATTTCCTTTCAAATCAACTACTCTTAAATCAAAGTGGGACGAAATAGCTGTACAGGAATTCCGGAAATTTTACCAAGAACGTGTCTTTATGTTCGTACGTATTAAAGAAGGTTATTTTGAAAACTATTAGGAATTCTTGTACAAAATGTGGTGTATTTATTTACAGAATAAGGATGCCAAAGAAGCACACAATCCACCTGATGGTAAGTGGATGCTGTGATCCATAGACATCTACATTTATCCTCAATTAAGAAACAAAATCAGATGTGTTGTTACATCAGATAACTGATATGGAATGCCTCATCTCCAGTAAAAAAAGTCTGCGGATCTCTACACTCACAATATGAACACAGCAGCATTAAGCTGCTGTTTTACGTTGGTACTCTGTGAGAACGAGCGATTTTATAATTTTTCAGCGCACAAGAGGGTTGGTTCTTTTCTTGTATAAATAATTTTGTTAGAAGGTAAGCAGGCGTCGCTCTTGGCACCATACCGCAGAATAGTTATATCATCATTATATTAGATTAGAATTTTTAAGTGTTATAAATAAATCTTTATACATACGAGTATAACTCTTGTGTCGGTGCGTATGTGATTGAATTCCACTTAAAGGGCTGTACTGATCTTGATGAAATTTATGAGAGGCAGCGCTTTTGTGCAAAGCATGGACGGATCGCTAGTATTGTATAAAATAGGTTATGTAAATAAAAAGTTAATTGGGTTTTCATAAAATGCTGATAAAATAATTTGTAAAATCACTAAGTTATTTTAATATTCTGATTTGTAAATAAAGTTTTGAGTATTAAAAAATTTAAACTTCACGCAATGATTATGAGCTGTGATCACCGTAGTGAGGCTTGTAGTCATGATATTATTAAATCGTCATCGGTTCTTAATATATTTGCAAAATTGAATATTTTCAGACGTTTTAATGTAAGCAAAAACTGAATAATGAAGTTCCATAAAATTCATTAATGAATACATACATTCACACAGCTCAAGCTATTTTAAAGGGTGTATCAAATGATATATCAGATTTAAAAAAAAAGCATGAGTTGTGAGTATTTAAGTGAGAATATTAGGACATAATCGTGACATTATTGTACTGTCGTCGTATTCACTTTTAGTGCTTAATACGTCTGCAAAGTTTTTGATCATAATGTCCTCCAGATCGAAGTTTGGTCCCGGTGGTCAGTCTCAGATGTACTTATCTATACATATAATAAAACTGTAAATAGCAGATGTCTGTACATTTTATATTTTTGTAATAAAAGTGATTGAGGGGTACTAAAAATAAGTAATTAAATACATTTCTACCATTTTTAGAATTTTCTGTCTGTCTGTCTGTCTGTCTGTTTGTTTGTTAACGTATCACGTATAATGTACTAATTTATATCATAAGAATTGCTAACGAAATTATAAAGTGTATCTTCGGGTTACATTTAGTCTTTATTTCATTAAAATCAGTTCATTCCATCAAAAGTTATGATAAATATTCTGAAGTATGGGTAGGGAAGTATAGGTACGAATTTGTTCAACGGTGGCTTTGTTTGAGTCATCAAGTGCATTTTAAACTAATATCATATCATAAATCATAGTTAAATTATGTAAAATAATGATATAGTTATGTATATCTAAAACGCAGTAAACAAAAGTATTAAAGAACGTATTAAATATATTATACAAAAATATATTAACCTTATTAACTAAATCTGAAGCACAATAGTTAACCCATTTCTTCGATAGATGGTGGTGTTGTGAAAATGTAATGCAATTGCAATGTGGTTTTTTCCTGTAGATGAGTTTTCATATTTACTGCTAATCTTTATTATATTACTCGCTGCCCTACTGCGTGTTGACAAACTCAATTTATTCTTTACCGCCGAGTACTCTATGTGGTAAATCAAAATATAAAAGAGCTATTAACAATTGCGTTGGTTTTGACGAGAGTCAAACTTTATTTTTTGCTTACTGTGCAGGCACTGATTTATAAGTTCTCTTGCGTTTTATATAATGTATCAATCACGTCAATTAATCTCTTTTATTTTTAGAATTGATGTTAGCAGCGCCATCTCTCTTTAAATATATACATATAATAAAAATGATGATAACATGTTGTGTCTCTTTCTGTACATTGTGTATATATTTTGGTGGCTAAAATCATTATGGGGAACTGAAAATAATTAAATAAGAATATTTTATAATTTTTAGAATTGTCTGTCTGTCTATTTGTCTGTTATTATATGAACGCATCACGTCTAAAGTAAACATCTTTTATTTTCAAAGAAATGGTTAAGAAAATCATACAGCGTATCTTCGAGTTACATTTAATCTTTGTTTTATTAAAATTGGTTAATTCTATCGAAAAAATGATTATTATTTTGAAATGTAGATTCGAATTTGTTCAATGGCGCTATAAAATCTCAGAAATAGTAATAAAGATTTGTGTGTAAAAAAAACGTTCCATAATAATTAATATATTTATACTTAAAACATAAAAAGAGATTTAAAAAGGATGTTTTCTCACACAAAGGACGTAATAGATGGAGTTGTACAAATTACAAACTTTTCTGAATTGCTGTGTTGAGATTTTTCGCCGATGAATCGTATTGAGACTTACTGAAGAAATTTGTATCCATCGAAGCCATACAACGGAACCCGACCAAAAATAAAAATTTTGCAACGAAATGTCGTGATATTGTATTTATAATATACGCAAAATCAGTACTGCCATTTTAGCGCTTTGGGAACTAGATTTAGCGCTTTTTTGGAATGTATAGCGCGCATTTCGAAATTTTAGCACCTAGCTTAATCCAGCGTTTTTTGGTGTATTTAGCACACATTTCGATATTTTAGCGACTAGCGGGTTATTAACTCTTTTATAGCAGCACTGTTAGTTCACATTACCGATAATAATAATAATGACCTTTATTATTTTTTCCCACAAATAGTATATTGCAGTTTATCTTTTTCAAACATATTTTTTCCACAAAACAAAGAGCATGGGAGACGAGTCCAAACTAGGATACCCTGTGCTATGGATCTCCTGGCTTCCTCTTTAGGATGCTCAACTTGATTTTTTTACCGACGACTATAAGCGGGGAAATCCCCTTTATTAAAGTTTTCGTTCATGATTTTGGCAACGCATTTATTTTGTTTTATTCAGTTTCAGTCAGTTGCTTAGAGCA